ATTTGATAGTGAAAATAACAGATATAATATAAAGTTTTTTTTCTTAAAAGAGATTATGAGGTTTTAAAGATTTTGCATGTGAAATTTGAAAATTTTCTGATGCATAAAGGTATTTTTAATCTTTAATCAAAATTACTTTACACATTGGATTGTCAACATTCGAAAAAAAAAAAGGCATGAGAAAAACATTACTTAAAAAATCTTAAACTTAATAAAAAAATCTGATATCTTGTGCATTAAAGCCTTGTAATGTTTATTGATAACCTGCAAAATTTTGTGAAGATATGCCTACTAATTTAACCCTTTGTATGCGATGAACCCTTAAACCTTTTTCTGAACTGAGTTAAGTTCAAAATTGAATTAAACTACTTTTCTATAAATGTATTTTAAAGAAATTACTATTATCATGTATGCTATAATTTAAGGTTTTATATTATCTATGTTTTATTCCTGTATTTTAAAAAGAAAAATCTGAAAAAGCAATTAAAACTGCACTTTTGGCTGTCATGTGATCCACTGTGGTTAAAATTCTCAAGTTTACGAGGTTGTACACAAGAAGCTATGAGTTCCTAATATAGACTGTCAGTATAAATTGTCAAAGTACAGTCCAGCTGTCTCTCATTAGCTTGGGGGGAACTTCCGAGAATTTCTTCAGGTGTGAAACAATATTCTAATATTTCTAAGTTTAACGTCAGCCACGCACACTTGCAAAGTCAAAACTGTGTTGTCAAGTGACACTTTGAAATTGAATGGCATGTTTATAATCAATAGAAAGAGCAGATTTCACACTATTCAGTTATAGCCTGAAGAAACCTCTACATATTTGGTAAGTGTTTCTCGCCTTATATGTATTAGTTTGCTAAACAGATTTCATTTAGGTTTTACATTTATATCTTAATTAATTATGTATTTATTTGTATTTTAAAATGCATATTTGAAATGTTTATGATTTTTTATACTTTTAACTTGTTGTAGTTTGGCTTACTAAAATGTCAAAGCAAGATGGAGTCAATCGCGTGTGCGAGCGTAAGTGTTTGGAATTTGTGCATGAGACTCGCCATGTAATAAACAATAGAGCGCCGTGCAGGATATGTTGTGGATCTTGGGATAATGAATAAAAGACAAAGAACTGGGAAAGAAAACAAAAATAAACTACAAATGAAAAGATAAAGACATGAAAAAAAATATGAAAACTATTCTTCAAAAAGGTATGTACTTACTTCCGTTCCTTAAGTTTTAAACATTTTATTCCACTGTAAATTGATGATGATATCAGGAGTTAATGATATTATAGAGAAAACGGAAAAAAATATATAAACATTTACCTTAAAAACTTTGATATCGATTTTGGAGGTTTTAGAGATTATGCAAATGAAATGTGAAAACTGAGAGATAAGAAATAGTATTTTTATATTCAAAATAAAAATCACATTGCACGTGAACTATTCAGATCAAATGAGAAGATTTATATATCAGAAGTTTAAAAGAAAGGGAGAAAACTTTTTTTATTCCCAAGTTCATTTTAAGAATTTTCTTTATGGTTTAATCAGTGGTTCCATACTTTATCACCTCACCTCAACTATTATGCAGGTAATCAGCATTAGGCCTATAGATCTTACATTACAAACTCAGTTGCTTTTATCTTCACAGTCAAAAATTTCTGATCCCACCAAAAGTAGTTCCTCTCATCACAAAGGTTATTTCAAATAAAAATCTGAGTATTGATGCTTTTAATTTAATTATCTTTTCTTGAAGTTGAACATGCTTTGGTTCAAGTAGACTACACCGTAAGTAAGGTTTAACATTAGGAGCCCTAAGCAAAAACTTACTAGCTGTAGTCTTATGGACTATAGCCTATACAATATTACAAGTCTAGTATAATGAGTTCTGTGGCTATAATAAGAGTATAGGCCTAAGCTAAAATCCTATGTTAACTTCTGTTTACCTTTTATTATAGCTTATTTAATGGCATAGAGTTTAAGTCAATATCTGAAGTATAAGAAATAAGGAAAGGCTGCTGCTATGAAGAATTTCAGTTCTTAATCCTTGAAAAGAAGTGTTTTCCACTTGTGTTGACTAAATCTTCAACATGCCACTATGTAGTTACAAATATATGTTTAATTAATTGAATGGTTCTGTTAACATTAATGTGAATCCATTAAGAGATAACTAATAGATATTAACAAGCAGGAGTAAAAGCAGTCAAAATAAAGCTTAAATCTTTTGTTGACTTTCCCATATATGTCAACAGCATTCACCTGAACCTTCTTTGTACTCTTTACATGTTTCATGACAGAACTACATAATTTCAAAATGAAAGTATTTTTAATAAAATGTGCTCACAAAAAGGGACCTTTTGAGTTTATACATTTTTTCTCTGAAGAACCATTTAATAGGTACAGAGAGGAATAGATGGATGGACAATTGAGAATTATATATAATTGTAAACTTTCAATAAAACAAGATATATTTTCATGTTAAATAAAAGTTTAAATAGATTTTAAGGTTTCGGGATCTTGATTGAAAGCTGTCATTTCCTGTTTTCTATTATATATAAATGTACAAACTATAAGTATTATATTAAATTTTTTAGACACTGGCTCTATGGAGAGAGAATAAAGAACAATTCAGAAAGAAACTCAGGTTGGTTAATATGTTTTTACCATAATAATGTTTTCTGTGATAAAATATTAATAGGTAAATTTTAAAAACCATTTAGAAAACAAAGCTTTGAATGATTAATAAATACATTTCAAAATATTTTAATGCATGTATTTAATTGTCACAATTTCTATCAGTCTGAACAGTGTATTTTAATGTGTTATGTTAGATGAAAATAATGTAGAAGATGTAAGCAAACTGGCTAGTGTTAACACGCGATGTAGTGTTTGGTCTCTCATATATATATACATACACACAACAAAATAAAGTAAATTTATCACATTTATCTTTTTAGGAAAACATCAACAGAAGGGCTGGTTCCCCAGAAAGTGTGTTGTAGAGTTTACCAGCATTCACTGTGATGTTACCAAAATACAGAAAAAATACCAGTGAGAACTTTGTTAGATTTGGTGAATGCCACAGAATAACCTTGAGAGGCATATCTGTTCATAAAGGGTTGTGCACTGTAATGTTTTATTGTTAATTTTAAGTTAACATCAGATTACGATACATTTTTATCCAAATAAACATTATTGTGCTAGGTGTTATTTAGACTCCGACTGGTCAATTTGGTTTTGAAATAAATGTAATTTTTTTTGTCATATGGTTGATGATTTTCGTACTCTTTGGGAAAAGATTCCAGTTAATTGAATGTGGTTGCTGGAAAAAATAGTTTAACTCTAAATATAATATGTTTACTAAAGCATTTAAGTTTTGTCTTCAATATACAAAAGACCTATCCATTCTTACCCATAAAATACAGTTCAGCATTGTTTGTATGAATGAATACTAATAAGTCTTCAGTTTCCTTTATTGAATGAATTCAACAGACAAACAAATAGCAAATTATAATAGACAGATGAAACAAAAGAAAAATTAACATCTCCGAAAGTCCTTGGAACAGTTTAATGTTAAAAATTTTAATTTAACTATCCATCACTGTCTGTATCTCCAGGTAATTTCTAAATGCAGTTAGTTTCAGAATACCATATTAAGCTTTAAAATATTTTATTTTAAAAATATTACACATTCAACCTGTTTATTCTTAGCAAAATAACACACTTTACCCGATTCATTTGGTTACTATATTAGTGATCATGACCTTGAAAAATTTATTTAAATTAACATTTACATTATATTGGGAACACAAATATTCAGAACATTAGACATTTCAAAGCCAGCAAATATATGCTACAATTGGCTTTCCTTTAACTGTGTGTTTAAAACAAACTAGTAAGGCTAATTTCATTTTCTAACAATGTCACTAAAAAACTTTCATGGCAGTAGAAATTTGCACTATATTGTGTACTTCAAGAATGTACATAGACAAAAATATTTTTTAAATTTATAACAATCTTTTCATTTATGTGTATGTATTTATACAATTTAAAATAGATTCCTAGTAACTTGTAGTAGTCAATGAGATTATTACTTTCTCTACCATGAGACATTTTCTTGTTTGGTTACTTGTAAATACTGAAAGTGATTAAGTGTAATGTTTACGTACTGTTACATGTACAATAATTTTTTCTTTTTGTATTGAATCATAATCAGTCGTTATTGAAATATTTAATAGAGAAAATAAAACTCTTAGCATTTTTTAGGTACTTATGATTTAAAAAATTGTGATGTGAACAAAACAAATAACTTCTGAGCACAATCATATGAACTAAAAAAATTTTGTTTACATGTACATGGAATTAAGCATATTTTGAAATGTACACACAATTAGACCTGGGTGTTTAATTAATATAATTAATTACCTATGAGCATCAATTAGTATTACAAAAATAATCACAAATGGAGTTAGTGTTTTCAATTAATAATCAAAATATAGCTCTTTTGATTTCTTGTTATTTTCAATTAAAGTTGTTCAGCTTAATTGATTAGTATAATGACTCATGAAAATAATCAATAAAAATTATTTTTTCTGATTATTACTATTTTTGATTATTCTAACTGTCCAGGTATTGTGTGAATAATTGAATAATAAGTTAGAGTTCAATCTTTAATTGATCAGCAAGTTTCACAAATTGTCCAGGTCTGTACTGATGCTCTCACTTATATGTTACTGAAAAATGTCTGGAAGTTATAATTTACCTATACTGATATTGTATTTTTGATAGGTACTTACCTCATCTCACATAAATAGCTATTCTTGTTCAGTGCTGTCCTTTATATGCAAAAAAATGTGTTCACGCATGCCACAAGCCTTCTGCCTCCCCTCCATTGGAAATGTATCTATTATTCAAATCATCATGCAAAACACTCTCATTATGCATGTGACTCATTCTACCAGACTATCACTTCAATTTTTGGGAGAAATTGGAAGCACCAGTTTTCAGTGAAGAGGAAGGTTGGGAAGAGGTAAGTACCTATAGAAAATACATTTTCAGTATAGGAAAATTATAACTTCCAATACAGTACATTACCTCTTCTCACATAAATAGCTAGAATCCCACATTGAATAGGTGGAGGGACCAGTCTGAGGGAAGAAAAGAAGCATCCGAAGAACACTCATTGAGATGAGAGAGTCAGATTCAAAGATTTGATGTGGGAGACCACACCATGTCTGAACCAGGTATACTCTTTACCCATTGGAGAAAGGTGTGGTATATATGGGCAGAAAAACAGAGGAGTACATCCAAGAGGTGTGGGGAAAAACAATGCCACCAGGTTTAGAGTGGCTAGGGCACAACGGATTGCACTCACCAAGTCAACTACATCCAAAACCCATGCCGCTGGGAACTGACATCTATGAGTGGGTAGGATGAGGATCATACTATCTTCACCTCAAGTTCAAGAGACCATAGGGGTTCTCAAGCCCCCTCCCCTCTGGAACGGCACATGTGAAGAATAGAAAATTTATCTTACCTGAACCAACCCAGGTGCAATAACATATATAGAGGGAGAGCAGAAGAGAAAGAACAGTAACAATCCCAAGTACCTCCACCGTGACCCACATCACAGATGATGTATAATTGAGGGAGGAATATAGACATCCATAATACATGTGTGAGGACTTGTGTTGATTGGTTCTTCTCTGAATCCAAAATCCAGCCACCGGGAACTGACATCCACGTGGGGGTAGGATGAGGAATCCCAATCGAAGGGGTGAATTGAATTTTGATGTATCTCTTCTTTGATTTTTGTGTGTTTTATAGTGGAGGACATCGTGTCATCTACACCAGCAGAACACCAGCCTACTCTGCACTGAATGGTATTTCAGTATTGATTTTTTATTTAATTAACCCTTTGACTATGATCTACTTGCATTGTAAGTTGGTATGTGACATTCGGGAAAGTTCTATATAAAAAATGAAACTAGTTGATGAAATAGTTTTAAATTTGACTTGAATGGTCCTAAGATTATGTACTTTTACAAAAATAAAATATTTAATTTTGACTTTTTCTACTATTTATAATAAAACAGTACCACTGAATTAATCACAAAGAGGTAAAATGGCTTTATCTACATGTTTATAATCCTTGTGCAAAAAACAAGGATTTTTCTTTTATTTTATAAATATTTACTTAAATATCAAGGCTCATTTAAAGGAATTAATTTAAACAGTAAATAACAATTTCAACATTGATGAATAAAATAATATTTAAGAAAAATCCAATTTTAGTTTTGTTTCTTGAGGGTGCACGAGTGAAGTCTGTAAGCAAGTTTTAAAAATTTAGACCACACATTCTTCAGTTTGCCCTTTTAATTTGTATCTGAAAATCCCACATGGTAGACCTCTAAAAAGAACTATTAATCCAACCACTGCTGCAACAGAGAAGAAAAGGCCAGAGAAAATGAAGAGTGCAGTAGGTAAAAACAAGAAACACACCTATTCATAGACTTGTCAGAGAAAATGACAAGTGCAGAAGGGAAGAACTAGAAAGAAACACCTGCATATAGACTTGTTAGAGAAAATGAAGAGTGGAAGGGAAGAACAGGAAAGTTTTTGTTTGTTTGAAGATAAGCACAAAGCAACACAAAGTGCTATCTGTGCTCTGCCCGCCACGGAAATTGAAACCCGGTTTATAGCATTGTAAGTCCACAGATGTACGGCGGTGTCACTGGGGGGCCAAGTAATAGTGCCATCATCACATGGTATTCCCAGATGGCCACCCTTCCAAGTACGAACAGGAAAGAAACATGTACATCATATTGATGGAGATGAAAGGCAAAACAAACATGGTCAACAGTATTTAGATGCTCTTCATAAAATTTCAGAGAACCAAGTACCTTCACATTACATTGGACATTTTACATTTGTTTGTCAGCATTGTCTTGCATTCCACTTTAAGGAGGAAAAGAGCAGTAGTGACTGTAAACTATGCCGCCATAAAGGAAAAGTATCTTTACAACTGACAAGAGTGCTAACTGTACTACAACAAATACTTGAATGCAACAACAGTACAACAAATAGATATTTAGATCAAGTTAGAAACCCTCACAGTTCTCTTGTGTTTGTTTCAATGTGTGCTCATCTTGCAAGTCCTAAAGGACAAATTACATTTTGCTTCAAAACCCATGGTCAAATACACCACTACTTTGGCACAGTTAACAAAGAAGAAAATGAAAACAAATATGGCAGTTTGTGTATTTTTGGACACAGAACAATCTTTACAAGAATGCCTTGAAAGACCAGAAAATGAAAAAATAGATAATCTTCTATGACTGTTTATATATGATTAGAACCATAAATCCATTTGCCATACCATTTAAATTAGTGAAAGAAGTAGTATATGAAGAAAAATATATAAAGCAGAGAGAGAACTGTAATTGCTTACAATGTTTTTCAGAAAAGATCAATTAAAATATAAATGTAGATATAACAAACAATGAGTATCAAGCATAGTATAATTTTTTTTGTTGAAAATAATTAACTACCACGTAAAAAACACTTACTGTTCACTCTAGAGATCAAGGACTAAAAATATATATAACACTGACCCTTGCTGCAATCTAATGGTATAATCTTTGTTCTTCCCATATGCTCAATTTGATTGGCATATCAAATTGGTATGCACTCTAGAACATTATAAAGTCAACTGTCACACCATTACAATTTTACTCATTTTGTCTTACTTTTCCCTTATTTACAGTTCAGGAAAACTATTCCTAGAATATACTGTCAATAGCTACATTACAGTGAAAGTTAATGACTGAAACATATTTGCAAAAAACCAATGACAACTTTGAGTGGAAAAGGAACCTTTTAAATTGTTTTGGGAATATCTCAATAAACAATATTTTGGTATAAAGTTTACTGTTGAGGAAGAAAGTAATTCTAAGTTATCATTTCTTGATATTAAAATTAATAACTTTGGTAGACATTTGGAAGTAGGTATTTATCATAAAGCTACATACACAGGACTGTATAATCATAAAAGTTTACAGAGCTTATCACATTTTGAGCAAATATTTTCAAAAAGAACTGGAGGGAATCAAAAATGTCTTACTTAAAAATGGTTTTAATATTTCCTTGATCAATAATGTGATTAAAGGTAACAACCCTTCTAAAATGTGTTATGATGTACCCAAATACTTGTTATACATTAGTCTACCATACTTGAGTAAGGGCACTTGTGAAATAATATCAAGAACATTATAAATAAAAAATATTCATAGATATCTGTACGAGTAGTCTTAAAATCTAAACTACAAATAGAGAAATGTTTTAAATTCATAAATGTGACTAGTAAATTTCAATGCACTTATGTTTATTGTGATCAAGATTACGTTGGTTCTACACCTCACAGACATCTAAACTGCAATTATCAAGACAGAGCACTGTATAAATACTTCAATGTATTGTGTGGTTCTAAGGATCAAAGAGATTATTCGCTTTAAGAGACCAATAAGCCTTTCATAATAAACTTGCTGAAATAATTTTTTTTATGTATACCAAGTCAAAAGTTCTGCTTTTTAATTTTATTAAATAAATTTAATATTGAAACAAGGTTTGCAGAATCATTTATTTGAAAAATTTGGCAGGGATACTCTGTCCCAAGTCTTGAGGCTTAATATCAATACTGCTTGATAAGATTTCTAAGTGATACAAAGACAGCGTTACTGACAAAGAAAAAACAAACTACTATTCTACCACTTCACTAACAAACACTGTAGAGGATATTGTGTTTTAAAGTCAACACTACTTCTAGTATCTGTGAAATCTGATGTCACTGTAGCTTACTGTTTATTACAATAAAATGTGAATGGTAAGACCACAGTCATAAACTGTATGAAATAAATACAAGTACAGATGTGCACAAATTGGTTCTGTGTTTATACAGAATATGAAAAGGGAACTAAGTGACATGGAGCTACAATTAAATGTAAGAAAAGATACCACTGTTACCAAGCACCAGACCCACAAGTATTTAGGTATATCTTTGTATGCCTGTAACTTGATTTAATTCATCATTTTTTTTTTTTTCAGTTAGCTATTAACTTATTCAGTAATTGGATATTACTTTGAGAAAAGAAATAGGAAAATAAATGCAAATGATAATTGTTAATTTCTCTTATTAGATTTAATCCACACAGATAGGTATATTTATATTAATATTTTCTGCACCTTTTCCAACGAGTTACAGCCACCTTCTC